AAATAAGATCTTTCTCTTGCTGTAACGTGCGGTCTTCTTTCAGTAGTAAGGATAGCCATTCTTCTTTAAGCCAGGGGCAGCCCTAACTTGGCTTCATATGGAATTATAATACAGTGCCGGTCTTGTCAAATCCGGTGAAACCCCAAGACTGCTATGGAAGATGTATGTATTCTACAACATGCTTGCCAAGGTTGACTACAATATGTATGTAGACTATCTTTTAGATAATAGAACCCAAAAATTAAAATCTAAACACATATCATCCTCTATATGGGCCACAAGAGATTGCACATCCCAGATTTTCAATGTTTAATTTGTCACGATGTTAATGTCATTGTATATTTGTCATTGTTAATTTGTCACGATGTTAATGTCATAGTATATTTGTCATTGTCATTGTCATGTTGTGCTATGATGCAATTGTTTTTGTTGATATCGGTTTGATGTTCATTTTATCACAATTTCCATGTAACTGTTTATAAATTACTGTAATTTTTCGGGGCATTTTAATCCTTCGAAGCCAAAGTATCCTCTAAGACCCAAAAAGTTATAGACCGGACTTGGTATATTGGATATCAAAAATATAATTTAAATACATATCATCTTTTGAATGAGTGATAATAAGTGGGTTACATTGAAAAAATTGATGGGACCTATTCATCCAAATGATGATATCTATTTGAATTATGTAATATTACTAATTCACATGAAAAGTGCTACATATAAGGCACAATAATATATAATCAAAGAAAATCCTCCAAGTTAATATTTCAAGATATCAAGTCTTGTAAAAAATTATTTTAGTCAATTCTATAGGTGAAATTTGTAATTGATGTTGATGCTTATGATAATTATTGAATTTGTACTGTGGATAATTATTGAATTTGTACCGTGGTCACAAATCTCTTGCTAATTTAAAACGAACACCTCAGGCCAAAATTAGAGTATTATATGTAATATTTATATACGAGCACACTAAAACTCCCCTTCTATTATAAATATACCAGTTATTGCATGTGCCTGAAGGTACAGAGTAATAAAAAATAATAAATAATAAACATATTTGTATTTATATTCACAAACATAGAGAAAAGATAAAAAAATTTAAACATCGATTTGTAGTGGAGTGAAAGGTGGTGGGTCACAGTGGTGGTGGTAGACGACGGTAATAGTTGTGGTGGGTGGCATTGACTGTACTGGTGGCAATGGCGGCGGAGAGGACGGTGGCGGCAGCGGTGGTGGTGATGGCGGCAGTAGAGATAGTGGTGAGGCGGTTTCAAATACTATTTTTTTTTAAAGTATTTATGAAAAATTATTTCTAAAAGTACTTTTAAAAAGTCATTCCAAACACACCATTATGACTCTGTTTTTCCTATTAAATTTAGGTATTAGTCGTTAGATTAATTTTAAAATAAAATTTAAAACAATCTCATCCGCGAATAACAAAAGTCATTTTTTTTATCTTTTAAAATTTGAATTGTAAGATTTGAATTGAAAGTACAGAGTAATAAAAAATTATAAACAATAAATATATTTGTATTTATATTCAAAATTAAATCACAAATATAGAAAAAAGATAAAATAATTTAAGCATCAATTTGTAGTGAGGTGAGAGGTGGTGGACGACAATGGTGGTGGTGGTAGAAAACGGTGATGGTTGTGGTAGGTGACAATGACTGTAGTAGTGGTGGTAATGGTGGGGATGGGGGGCGACGGCGGTGGTAATGGTGGTGGCGCCAACAGAGGTGGTGGCGATGGTAGTGGGGGTAGCGGTGGGGGTAACGGCGACGGTGGCGATGGTGGTAGTGGTGGTGGCGACAATGGTGGCGATGGTGGCAATGGTAGTGATGGTGGTGGCGGCGACGATGTGGTAGTGGTAGTGGTGAAACGGTTTCAAACACAATTTTTTTAAAAAAAATATTTATGAGAAATATTTTTTAGAAATACTTTTAAAAAGTCATTTCAATCACTCTTAAGGTTCTATTTTTTCTATTAAATTTAGGGTGTTAAAATTAATTGTTAGATTAACTTTAAAATAATCTCAACTGCAAATAATAAAAATTATTTTGTTTATCTTATAATATTTAAATTGTAATTCATAATTAAAGAAGAAAAAAACGAACTAATGCGAGAGAGAAACTTTAATGGACGAAAATAGGCACGGATACAATAGGCGGACGCGATTGAGTACGAGAGTCTATTGTAGAATCTCACCCACGTGGGCAAGAGACCACATTTATCAACCAACAGTTGTGGGGTCCATTGCAAGATTATTGAAAGACAATTACAAGTGCTACAAGTTAACCATGCTTCACCTTATCATTGGTCTCGATTGTCTGCTCTGCTCTGCCTAACCTCGTTTATTTGACATTCCACGGTACAAATCATAAATAAAATAATCAATAATGTCGGGTTCTACTCCTGTAAATCCAAATTTTCGATTTCAAATTACATTTCAAGTGAGCGGGACCCTGGTATGGGTGGATCTTATTAATTTTTTTTAAGCGAACGGTAAGTGAGTGAGCCTACATGACAATCTCATACTGCTCACCAGCACAAAAAAATTGAAACTTGTCTATTGCAGACATTAATGGAGGAAACCCTCAACAGTGAATCTGCCCAAAGCACAGCCATGTTCTGCAAACTTGTAATACTGGTGGTGCATGTTTTATTTAGCGTAGTAGCATCTGAAGATCTAGGATTTGTCTACAATGGATTTCGAACAGCGAACCTGAGTCTCGATGGCATAGCTGAGTTCACACCCAATGGCCTCCTCAAGCTAACCAATGCCACCAGACAACAAATGGGGCATGCTTTCTATCCCAATCCTATCATCTTCAAGAACTCATCAAACGGTTCGGCTTTTTCCTTCTCCACCTCTTTCGTATTCGCTATCGTCTCCGAATATCCGAATCTGAGCGTCCATGGAATCGCCTTTGTGATCGCCCCAACCAGAGGCCTTCCAGGGGCTGTCCCAAGCCAGTACCTTGGCCTTTTCAATGAGACCAACAATGGTAATGACACCAACCATGTCTTTGCTACGGAGCTAGACACGATCCAGAACCGAGAGTTTGATGACATCAATGAAAACCATGTTGGCATTGATATCAATGGGTTGAAGTCTAATTTGTCAAAGCCAGCAGGATATTATGCTAATAGCAATGGGGAGTTTCAGAACTTGACTCTTATCAGTGGCCGCCCTATGCAAGTTTGGGTTGAATATGATGGTGTTTCTAAGCAAATTAATGTCACTTTAGCTCCGATAAACGTCGGTAAGCCAACTATTCCTCTCTTATCTTTGTACCGGGATCTTTCATCAATTCTGAATGAGACCATGTATGTCGGATTTTCGTCGTCCACGGGTTCAGTGCTCACATCCCATTATGTCTTGGGGTGGAGTTTTAAGATGAAAGGGATGGCTCAAGGGCTTTCTCTCTCTCAACTTCCAAAGCTTCCTCGAGTTGGGCCTAAACCGAAGTCGAGAATGCTGACAATTGGGTTGCCTGTAATTTCCATTGCTTCGGTGTTAATGGTGGTCTCAGGTGTAGTTTATTATGTAAGAAGGAAGAGGAAGTTTGCAGAAGTGCTTGAAGATTGGGAACATGAGTATGGGCCTCACAGGTTCAAGTATAAGGACTTATATATTGCTACCAAAGGGTTCAAAGACAAGGGTCTATTGGGGACTGGGGGATTTGGTAGGGTTTACAGAGGGATCTTACCCCCCTCTAAAATTGAAATTGCTGTGAAGAGGGTCTCTCATGAATCAAGACAGGGGATGAGGGAATTCGTTTCTGAAATAGTAAGTATCGGTAGGCTACGCCACCGGAATATAGTACCTCTGTTGGGTTATTGCCGGCGTAAAGGAGAGCTTCTACTGGTGTATGACTATATGCCCAATGGAAGTCTAGACAAATTCCTCTACGGCCAACCGAACATCACCCTGAATTGGAGCCAGAGATTTCGAGTCGTCAAAGGTGTAGCATCAGGACTGTTGTATCTACATGAAGGGTGGGAACAAGTGGTGGTTCACAGAGATGTCAAGGCTAGTAATGTCTTGTTAGATGCTGAATTGAATGGAAGATTAGGGGATTTTGGTCTTGCAAGATTGTATGATCATGGAACTTACCCTCAAACTACCCGTGTGGCAGGAACTCTGGGGTACCTAGCCCCTGAACATACCAGAACCGGCAAGGCCACCACAAGCACCGATGTATATGCTTTCGGGGCCTTTTTGCTAGAGGTTGCTTGTGGAAGACGACCAATAGATCCACGAGCATCAAGTGAACTCGAACTCAATTTGGTTGAATGGGTGTTTTCGTGGTGGAGCAAAGGTGAGATTCTTCAGACAGTTGATCCAAATTTGGGCACTTATTACGTAGCACAGGAGGTGGAGTTGGTATTGAAGCTTGGGTTGCTGTGCTCACACTCAGAACCTGTTGCTAGGCCGACTATGAGGCAAGTTGAACAGTTTTTGGAGGGCACCATCCTTCTACCAGAGTTATCGTCACTTGGAATTTCTGCCACCGGCCTAACGTTTGCACATCGTGACAGGTTTGATGATTTTGCCATGTCGCATCCATCTTCCATGGATAAGGCCTTCTCTCACACCACCTCGGTTGCAGAGTCCCTTCTCTCCGGAGGCCGATGATTAAGAACTTCTGTGAATTAGAGTTACTTCAGCAGTACAGAGCTATAATATGATATTGAGTAATGTCTTTCACATAGTTTTGTATCTAAAGATTTCTGTCAATTCCTGTATAGACACAAACCAGTGTTTCTTAGTGCATTTGATGATCAAACTTTACTGAAAACTTACAAAAATGTATTGCATGTCTAGAACAAGTAGATTAGTATTACTGCAAACCAGCAACATTAGTATACAATCTAGATGTAATTACCACTGGCCATTCCTTTGAGCATAAAACAATGGGAAATTAAAGAAACTGGAAAATCCCTTAGGTGGATTAGTTACATTGGCCCCAATTGCAGCAGTACTCTTTATGGGCCTCAAGAGATCACACATCCCAGATTTTCAATGTTCAATTTCTCACGACCTTAATCTCACTGTATATTTGGCACTGTCATGTTGTGCTATGATGTAATTGCTTTGTTGATATCGGTTTGATGTTTATTTTATCACAAATTTTATGTCATTTGTTTATAAATCACTAATTTTTAGGGGCATTTTAGTCCTTTGAGGTCAAAGTATCTTCTTAAGACCTAATAAGTTATAGACTGGACTTGGTGGCCCAAAAGTGCAACAAGGTGTATCGGCCACCAAAAACCCATTCTTTTTTATGCTTAGAACTGAACAATAATCCAAAATATAAGATATAACATGTATACATCTATATAATAAAGTATAAGATATTTTATATTCTAAAAAATATATAAAAAAAAAACAAAATTTATTTATTATTTTTGTTTTAGACCTCAATTGCTTTGAGCGACTCCTGCCTGAAAATCACACACACGCCACTTTCAGCCCTGTTTTATCTCCCTCTACTTGCTCTGCCAAATCCACATCCTTGTAGCGCTAACCTGCCACTACCAAAATCCAATCTTTTTCTACTTAGAGGCCGTCAACAAACCATAACTTTGCTCCAAAATTCAATTGCAGAGATAAAGACAACTCAGAGATCCAACTCCACCACTGCTGATGCAGCAATATATATACACATATATGATTATTTTCCTTTTTATAAATTTGATTTCTTTTACTAGAAATTATTTTATCCAAATTTGATCAAAATGAAAGTGAACCGGTTATGAATAGAAAAAAATATTGGGTGTAATCGTTACATCATATTAATATGCTGATATGGTGTAATCGTCCAATGATAAGATAATATGTGAGCATGTAAATCATACATGAAGTACTTACCGCATGACTTGGATGAGTAATTATTTAAATATGTAGGATTCACCTGTCCACATGTTATTAGTTACACCATATCAACATAATAGCATGGTGTAACAGTTACACCCAATTTTTCCTCGAATGACAAAGATAAAATCTCATTTTATGTCTTGAAAGATATTAAAATTCTTAATTTACACGCTAAATGATTACTTTTTGTTCCTTTGTTCCATTAAAAAAATAAAAACGTTATAATGCGGTCCAAAATTATTTTATTGCAACATTTTTAGAAGCAGATCGTAACGTTTTTGGACAACATTGCAACAATTTTATTTCTTCTTTTTTTTTTGGGGGGGGGGGTATTGCAAAAAAATTAATCATTCAAGTTGCTGTGAAGCGCATTTCACATGAATCAAAAAAAGGTTTGCGTGAATTTGTTTGAGATTTCTAGTATTGGTCGGGTTCGTCATAGGAATTTAGTTCAATTATTAGGCTGGTGTCGACGTCTTGGTGATCTGCTACTTGTCTATGAATTTATGCCTAATGGAAGCTTAGATAAGTCCTTGTTTGATCAACCCAAATCAGTGTTGAGTTGGGAACAGAGGTTCAAGATCATCAAAGGTGTTGCTTCGGGTCTATTGTATTTACACGAAGGATATGAACAAATTGTGATACAGAGACATTAAGGCTAGCAATGTGTTGCTTGATGGTGAGTTAAATGGTCGACTTGGAGATTTTGGACTAGCAAGGCTATATGAGCACGGGTCAAACCCGAGTACAACTAGAGTGGTGGGCACATTGGGGTACCTTGCACCAGAACTGCCAAGGACAGGGAAGGCCACAACAAGTTCTGATGTGTATGCCTTTGGGGCCCTGTTGCTTGAGGTTGTATGTGGAAGAAGGCCAATTGAGCCTAAGGCAGGGCCTGAAGAGTTGGTATTGGTGGATTGGGTGGGGGAGAAGTGGAGAGAGAAGAGATTTCTTGATGTGGTGGACATTAAATTGAAAGGTGAATTTGAAGAGAAAGAAGTTGTGATGGTGTTGGAGTTGGGACTAATGTGTTCAAGCAATGCGCCATTGACACGGCCTAGCATGAGGCAGGTGGTGAGGTACTTGGAAGGCGAGGCTGTGGTTCCAGAGGTGTTAAGGCCAGCTAGTGCATATGATGGAGGCATAGGGGATGGTGGTGATCAGGAAGGGCATAATGATTTTCTTCATTCATCGTCTTCGTTGGAGAAGACAACAAGGCCGTATTCATTCATGGCAAATGGAGATGTTGATGCTAGTTTTGGTTCTGTTTCTACTTCCCTTCGTCCACTTCTCATAACAAAGGGGATGCCAGATAGTAAGGGCAGTCTTCTAAAGGCGATCTTCCTGACTTTTCCTGGAAAATATTTCTTGATTCAAAGGAAATGAGTAATGATATGAGAGATCGGCATGAGGACTTCACTCGACCCCAGGGAAAAAAATACAGTGCAACCTTGGTTGACAATTGCCCCAGGAGAAAAAGAAAACATATATTTTTTTTTTTCTTTCTGATCAGAACAACAAAAGAACATCTTGATTTGAGTTATTTGGGGACCTGTTCTTTCTTCTGTGGGTCTCCACTCACATTTAGAGGTCCCAAAAAAGTTGGGGCAGTTGGAGTCTTTTATTTTTGAGGTAGGTGTGGACTTTTTTTTTTTTTTTTTATGTGTGAGTGTAGGGGAAGTGGGATTTGAACTTTAACCTCAAGAAAACAAAGTCTTCACAAGGTAAGGAGTATCATTTGACCAAATGATTACCATCTTGATTGGATTTTCGACTTCAATCTTTTTTTTTCTTTTTTTTGGTTCAATGGTAAAGTGTGTCTGAACTAATTTACGTGCATTATGATTAATTCTCTTTTCAATCTGATCAAATACAAGTTATTCATGCGGGATTTAGAATATTTATGAGAGATAAGATAAATATCTCATAATTTGATTCAAATGAATTGTCAAGACTTTAATCTTTTAAACATTTTTCAAATCAAATCTAAGAATATCTCAAGTGGTATATTCATATATTATCCGAAAGTATATTTTATTGATTCAAGTGATAGGTTGTTATTTTTTCATTTGGATGCAATAATTAGAAAAAGTATCCCTAAAAGTGTAATAAAGAAAAAGGAGAAAAACCCTACAAGGATATCAATTTTTTTTTTTTGGACCGAGAAGAACTACAACAAGTTACACTTTACAAGGATATCGATTGAGTAGATCTTTTTTTTTTGTTTCAACGGTAAAAAATGTACAAGTCAGTTTATATACATTTCGACTAATTTTCTCTTATTGAAATTATTTGAGAGTAAAAAAAAGCACAAACTGAGTGCAGAGTCTTGTATATAACCAAATAACAGATACAAGTGACCAGAATATTCATTTGGTCTGGGTAAGACATAAAAGTCATAATATGGACAAAAAAAGGAAAAAGAGGAAACTAAGAAAACTAATAAATTAGACTATAACTTCAACATTCCCTCTCAAGTTAGGTGCAAAAGTGTGAGTTAAGTCAAGTTTGACAATGGAGTTCCGAAGAATTGATAGAGTGACAAGTTTAGTGAAAATATTCGCAACGTGATCACTGGTCTCCACAAACGATGGGGTGACAGTACCACAGTTAACCTTCTCCCGAAGAAAATGAACATCAATCTCTATATAATTCGCCCTCTCGTGTAGTACAGAGTCAGAAGTGAACTGAATAGCAGATTTGTTATCACAATACAATGTGGATGGAAAAGTCACTAGAAATTCTATCTCGCCAAGAATCAATTGCAGCCAGATAACCTCACATGTGCTAAGTGCCAGTATCCGATACTCTGCCTTTGCTGCCAACCGGGAGACAACTGCATGTTTCTTACTCTTCCAATAGATAAGATGAGTTAAGCACGAAGGCGAGAGGTGCTAAGTGTTGGTGCCTAGGTGCTAGCACTAGCCACTTGTAGGTGCTGGTGCTAGGCAGTGGTGGTTTGGGTAGCAAAGGCGTGGGGGGGCTGAGGGGCAGTGGTTGGGGCTAGGGTTAGGGAAGACGAAGGGGTAGGTAGGTTTGACTTTGATACCAACTAGAATTATTTGAGAGTAAAGTGATGCACAATCTGAATGTAGAGCCCTATATATATAACTAAATAAAAGGTCCAAGTGACCAGAATATCCTTTTGGTTTGAGTAAGACATAAAACTCATAATAAGGACAAAAAAGGAAAAAGAGAAAAAACAAGAAAATTAATAAACTAGACTATAACTCCACCACTCTTCGATCTGATTAAAGATAAATTATCCACATTGAAACTAAAGTATTCATCAGAAAAACTTATGTATACAAAGAAGTCATACAATGAATCATTTTCTCTAAATTTTTCGGTTACGAAACAATGGTGATATGTAGCCTAAATTACTGATTACCAAATCACATTATAATTAGCTTGATTAATCTAAATGAAATAGTTCTTAAACATTGGATGAATATTCTTCTTGGAACGCTCACCAACTGACTTTACAATATAATTTTTTTCCCTCTTAATATATATATATATATATATATATATAATTAAAATCTCTCGTATTAGTGTAGAAGTTTTATAAATCTCGGCTCAAAGAAAGAAAGTAACCTAGCAGTTAGACTAAGCGAGTTTCAGATAACACGATTTTATTGCCATTATGTGACTTAATAAAATGGCTAACTATTTTAATTTGGAGATTGGGATTGAAGTTGTGACAGTATATGCCTTTAGTTCAAGGCATAAGCAAAAGTTAATTGGGACCGTTCGGAACTCAGTAAAATTAAAAAAAAATTATTAAATTTTTTCTAATATATACTTTTCAGTAGTTAATATAATTAATTAATTCAATTTTTCTTATGACCTAAATTAAGATTTTATTAGTTTTTGCCTGTGTGTGTTGTCCAATTCAGTAGAGCTGTGATCTTTAGGATTAGAGAGTCACTTGATGACTCAGTCATGGCTCCTAGACTCTTAGGTGGTGTTTGGTTCAGTATGGGAGGAATGGATTGGAATCCGAACTCAATCTAATTCAATATAAAGTGGTCTAAATTAGAGGATTATAAAAATGGGATTCAAACTATATCCCATCTTTGGATAGGATTCATTTGTTATGTGGGCCCCATTAACATGTGAAGATAAAATATGTTAAAATGATCATTTCACCCTTGTGTAAACAATGTGATCAAATCATATACCATGTTTAAAATGGAATGAAAAAAAAAAAGTTCAATCCATTAATATTGTTTTTTTACAACAAAAAATATGAATCAATAAATTACGCATTTTTACAAAATATACCAATAAATATTTTTTTTAGTTATTTAATTAAATTTATACAATACACTTTTAATCACAAAAATCATATGCATCATGAAAAAAAAAAAATTCAACACAAAAACAATACACATATCGATACCACTCAAGCCAAAGTCGTTATTTGTTTATTTATAGACAAGCCGGAGTAGTGTGTTTAAAATAAAACTTAATTTTTTTTTTCAATAAATAGCAAAATTAATTCGAACCATATTAAATTTTTTCAATGACCCAAATGCAATTTATTTTTCATGAATTTTAGAACATTTTAATATTATTGCATGAATTAATACCACAAATCATGTCAAATTAAAATAGGAAAAATTTCAATGACACCCCCTCTAGTTTCTGAATCTTTAATGACACCCCTTCTAGTTTAATTTAAACATCATTAACACCTCCTACCATTAAACTATTATTTCTAACAAAATAAATTTATCTAAAATATCAAAAATGCCCCTACATAACCTCAAGTAATTTTTTTACATAAAATTTTATTAAAATTTGAGCTGTTAAAATTTTAAAAAAAAAAATCATAAATAACAATTTTAGTAAATAATTTGTTAGTAAATACTAATTTTTTATTTACTAATTAGTAATTTTTTTTAAAAAAAAAATCGAGCCTATTAAATTTTTTTTTTACATATTAAAATTTGATCCAATTTAAACTCTATCTAAGTTGTTAGGGCCGATTAAAATTCTCTTTTAAGTCGATTATAATTCATATTTTTTTTTATTAAAATTTGTGTCAATTAAAATTAGATTTATTAAAATTTAAGTCAATTAAAATTCATATATTTTTATATATTAAAATTTAGGCTGATTAAAATTCAATGCGAATTAATTAAAATTTGATTTGAGTCGATTAAAAATAATTTTTAATTGGCTCAAACAAAATTTTAATTATCCCAAATTCTAATACGTAAAAAAAATATAATTTTTAATTGACACAAATTTTAATATGTGTAAAAAAATAGATTTTAATTAGCTTGAATCGAATTTTAATCGATTTGAATTTAATTACGTAAAAAAAATTAGAAAACAGAGGGGGTTTCATTAAAAATATACTTATCTAGAAGTCGTCTCATTGAAGATATGTTTATTTAGAGGGGTGTGGATGAAGTTTGTCCTCAAATATATCATAGGTAATTTAATAAAATTACATTTTACTTAATAGTTTTAATCTGACAGGAAGTGTCATTGAAGATTCAAAAACTAGAGGGGGTGTCCTTGAAGATATGATAAACTACAGAGGGTGTGATTGAAAATTTTCCTTTAAAATATGTTGCTTTAATTAAAATGTTAATTTTTTTTAGAGTTCATCTCTAAGGAAACAAAATTTTAGATGTAATGAGACCCAACACCACTGAACAAATGTGATTTTTTAATGAGACTCAAACCCTTTCAATTAAACTTGACTTAGATCGAATATTTTCGCACGTTTACTCTCAAAATTTATGTAATTAAATACCGAATGTCAGAAATTAAGTAATATCTATTTAGAAGAAAAATTATAATGTAGTATATAATATAGAGTATAATCAATTTTTTAATAATTTTTTTTCTATTTTGTTTAAGTACACAAGATCAAAAAATTGAAAATTTTTTTAAACACATGCCAAATTTTATTTTTTTGTTGCTTCAGTAATAAAAAAATAAAAAAAAATTCAGCAAGAGAGATAGAGAGATGGAAGTCAAATGTTGAGGGCAATAATGTAAAATGACAAGTTATTTCATCCGTGGCTTCATCCGAGTAAATGAATCCAACATGGTAGGTGGGTTTCATTTGTCCAGTTTAGAGGATTAGTTCATGAATTCTTACGACCGAGTAATTCAATCCCCAACGTTTATACCATTGTATTTTTTGGATCCAAAGCTGGAATATGTAGGCCCTCCGTATTTGAATCCAATCTAACATGTCTTATCTACTTTTATCCTTCCAAACAAACACCACCTTAAGAATTTAGTAAGAGCGATGAAGAATTGTAAATCGGGAGTTTATAGTGGCTCACCAATCTGAGAAATCGGCTAATCCGTTCTCATGGGAGTCTCTTGCTCTTATGGAAGATTTTATTGATAGAAAA